GAGGGCTCGCCTGAGTCCCAAAATTTCTCCAATTATGCATTCATGTCTATGTCTCAGCACCCTCTAACAGAATCCACGTTTTCGAGAATATCCAAGAAACTTTATTTTTCGACCCAAAAAAACTATAAGGTACACGTACCCCTTATAGATATTTTGGGTCTAAAAAAAAAGTTTCTTGGATATTCTCGAAATCTTGTATTCTGTTAGAAGGTGCCGAGACATGAATGCATGATTGGAGGCTCTAGAGCCTTCCAGAGCTGAGATATGGAGATCCCACAAAGCATTTATTCCATTGGGGCAAATAGAGACTCGCATACAGTGAAATTTTGGGATTAAAATTTGGCCCTTTTGCAGCTTTTTGTTTGAACAAAGACATCTCACACAATGTCATATTTGCATTCAAAATGTCATAATTGAGCGAATGACACTTAATGACAGTTGTCATAAACATGCATAAAAACTCCTGCATATTCATGACATGTGTCATGTCAAGATTATGACGGTGTCATGTTAGTCTTATGCACACCCTTTCAAGTAAAGTGTTACCAATGAGGAACTAATCTTTTATAAAACATGAATATGCGTTTCATACGGGGTTAATAAATAAAATAAAAATGTGTATGTATGTAGTTAGAGGGTGCAGAAAGCGTTGTAAATGCCTTGAATGCACATACAGATAATTTTTATGCACATACAGATAATTTTTAACGGGTAAGTGTCATTTGTAAAAGGTAAATGTAACACATTAACAAGTAATTAATAGTTTACACTTTAGATTGGGGGATGCAAAAAGTGTTGTAAAATATTTATTAATGCGTTTACACATCTATAACAGGTGTTGAACACTGTAGTGTGTAGTGTCGTGTGCACTGCAATGTAAGTGCTGACTGGTGAGGGTATAGACAGCTGTCTTCTCTGAAACACAAGAATCTAACCACTGTGCACCTAATGTGAGCAAAACATACAAAAAATTTAACATAATGAACATTTATGAGACGCATAGTCATATTTTGTAAATTATTAGTTAATCATTAACTAATCAATTGTAAATGACTTGTAACGAAATGTACAAAACATACATAAAATGTTAGTATATCACTTATTAATCATTTATGAACGCATAGTCATGTTTCATAAATAATTAGGTAATCATTTACTAATCACGTGTAATGGAAATTACAAAAAACATACATAAAATGTTAGTATATCACTTGTTAATCATTTATGCATGTTTTGTAAATGATTAGTTCATCATTAACTAACCACTTATTAATGGCCTACAACTGAACATTATTATTAAGTGTTACCCAAGTCTCTATACATTTTTACTATATTTTATCATTTAATCACTTCACATTTAATCTCCAGATTAATGTAGAAAAACATAAAATAACTAAATAGGGACATTATATTTTAACTACTTGTTTAATTACATATTTTTTTAATATGTACATGAAGGCCAGTATCACTGATACTAATAAGGCTACTGATGTCTTGATAAATATGGGAAATAAAAAGAAATTGAATAAAGCGTACAACACTCTGCACTGCATAATATATAAATTAGATATATGAATCCTTTTTAAAGCTACAAAAGTTCTTTAGTTAGGAGCAGTGAGTAATGTTCTCTGTTCCCACGTTACATTCTAATAATACAAATACATTTATTTACATAAATGTCACTGCAGATTAAGTATTTTCAAAAACAATATTCACAGTATAAGTATGAACTATAGCTGAAATATAGCCATGGCATTGATGCACGAGGTCCACTGTGGACAGATGATTAATCAGATTTTTCTCCCAATCTAAAATCAAAACTTGGACAATGTAACTGTGATATGATTCATTAGATATTGCTTGATGCTGCAATATGTTTTTATCTACAAGAGTCTCCTAGGAAAGAAGGAATGGTTGGACTAGCCGAGGTGGGCTGGTCCAGAGCCATATAGAGAGAGAGTTGCGACAACGGAAGTTCTAAATGCTTGGTTGTCACGTGATTCGCGGAGACCTCAGATAGTTCCAGGAAGTGCTTCGGCGCCAATTCAAATCGATGGAGGTAGAGAGCTGAACTGTGATTTTTGGTAGTTTGTAGTCAATAAATGCGTTGGTTTACAATATGTATATAATACATTGACATTTGGATGTAGTATGTGTATGTAGTTACAGCAATATTGTTTTTAAAAGATAAAAATCTGCTGATATTTAATGTTTATTGTGGTCAACCAGTGTTGCCTGCCTTTGTTAACATATTTTCTGGCTAACTTTACCTTGGTTAAAGACCGTTTTGCAGTTGTTTTGAAGTATTTTTGTGTTCTTAAACTTGTATGTTATTTAAGGGTTATCATGTAATGTTCACTATGGTTTCACAAGGACATGAGACTTCCAGGAAACAGGTGATTGTCTTAAAAAGCCATTGCAAACAAGTAAATTGTAAAATTGCATTCATCGTAATGTTTACAATGCTTATGCACTTATTACTATATAAATAAATACATAATATATTTCATTTTAAAACAAAACATGATTATACACACACACATACATTATTTTCTAAGTGTCCAAGTACATTATTTCCTTAACATAATTTGATAAATTCATGACATACATCACTTTAATCTATAAAACCTATTTAGTTTAAATTCATTTTTAGTACATTTAGATAATACATATTTTATGTTTTGTTATCTTAAACCCCCCAAAATGTCAGGTTGTGTAACTGTCCGCACAAATGAACAGACTAAAATACTAATTTAAATGGTGTTTTAATCATAAAAAAATTAAAATGAAATTCTATGGCATCATTTTAACCTTTCATATAAACAAATTTTATACATTTCAGTAGATTTATAGCTGATAATTGAAAACCTTTTGTCTAACAATTTGTATGTCAGGGGGGCACAACTGCAAACATGGCTCTCTTATTATGGTAATTGCAGTGTGCATGATAATGCATTGTCCAGAGGAGCCATAATGATCCTTGTAGATCTCTATCAAATACTGGTAATTGCTTTAAAGTTATGGGTAGGTTGGTACACTTTCAGGTGAATTTAAACACTAGAAATGTTCACAACTGAAACTTGTTCAAATACATTGTTCATGACAAAAAATATACATTACATCAGTTTTGAAAAGAGGTCATTGACAAAGAAACAAATGTTTTTTTTTTAATCTTTTCAAAACTGATGTAATTTGTTTATTTGTCAATGACACATATACACTTTTGCACTGAATTAGCACAATGGGATTTATAAATGTCTAATAAACTGCACGTCAAGCATGTTGTCTGGCCTTTCCTCTATGTTGTCAGACACAGAAAATATGCTCAAGTCAGGAGCAATCTAAATAGAACTAAACATTTTTTGTGCTAATCATACTTAGGTGTATCTGCACTTTTTCCACAAAGACCAACACTGGGAAGTTTAATGTTTATTAAAAATAGGGAGCAGGTAAAGTCTTGCAAAATCCAAGGAGCTGAGATTGATGAGGGTACAGCGTCAGTGCAGGAGTCTTCAGGATCCACCGAATCCTCTTTGTGCTTCTTGTGTTGAAAGAGATAAAGGAAACAAAAAAGGGATAAATTATATATAGGAGTTAGTATATAATACAGTTATGGTATTTATAATACCCCATTTAGCCTAGTGTGATTTGATCTAGAACACGGCTTGCTGCCGTTTTAAGCATGTTTTTTATTCTTACTTATAAACTTCCATCTCCCTTTCCCATCAATACAAATCAGCTGAGCTAAATCATAATATAGAAAGGTAATAGTCAACAGAAACACAATGAATAAAAAACGCCAAACATACGTTTTTCCTTACTCAAATATGAAATCTAAAATAAGGATTTTTCCCCGTTATTGCACATTTAATATGGAATGAAACCGATATTCTCATTTTATCAATTACAACTTTCACACTCCCCAATGTTATATTTAACCTCTGTTTAGAAGTATTTCCCTCTTATTACACAACAAAGGATAAACATGCATTAATAGAACGGGTTTAAACATTAATATGCTGTTCGTGGTTTGTTATGCGGTACTAACTTTATCCAATGACCTTTATTTTACCTGATAACGTCCCCTAAAACTACTAATTTAGAAAGCAATAATCAACTAGCATGCTTTAATACAGTTTAAGTTACAAGTTAATTTGATTCAGATGTACTGATAATATACAATCTTATTCTTTAAACGTCTTACCTTTTAAAAGTGCATCACAAACGGTCTGTTCTGCTGTAACTCTACCGCGCTGCTGCTACTTCCGGGAACTATTGAGAGGCTCCGCAAACCGCCATTGCTGTAAAAAAACGTTCCATTGGAGTCAATGGAGTTGTCGCAACTCTCACTCTATATGGCTCTGGGCTGGTCCAGGCGGGGTACTTGAGCGCTGAGCGTCCGGTGATCCCTTGGATCTCACATCTTCGAAAACGTCACATCATAATTTTAAATAGGCGCTATCTGTATAAACAAACAACATATTTGAGATTGAAACAACTACATTGTCGACTGAAAAACTCTTAAAACTACATTTCATACACAATAACAGTAATTTTTAAATTTCGCGGTCTTTCTCCTCTGCTATTGACGCAACTTGAGATTTTAAATATTAGATATAGAATATACACAATTTACATATACAATATGCAATTTAATTTCATCTTACCTTGCATATAGCAACGGGAGTTAGCGTTCTACATAAAGCTACCACATAATAACACTAAAACAGCTCACGTTAGCTACAAGTTATCGCGAGAACAGATTCAGATCAGGCATACTACTGGCATACTAATGGGGTCCTACGCCCGGACTATTCACACCGAGTAACCGGATTATTCACCACACCGGCCCTGAATGTTGTGTTACAGAAGAAAACATTGACCTAATAAAATAGCCCCAATTCAAACGGTTTCGCTGAAGGCCGTTACAGCCAGGGGGCGGGGCTAACTCGCTTGACAGACGTTGATTTGGACCAATCAGTCAACGAAAGACACTCCTCGCGAGGGTGAGCAGCAGCCATTGTCAACCCACAACAAGCAAGAAAGAGGAAGAGGACAGTCGTGCTGCGAGACAACAGAGGAAATTATGATTTGTTGAAAAATCATTTCAGGTTTACTGTTATAGATGTAACAGTCCGTAGCGATTACTTTATATTTTGTGCACCTTATCGCGGGGACCCAGCTCGGTAAGTGTTTTGCTTGTTGACAGCTCGTTCAAGAGCTAGCTCAAGAGCTAATAAGCTTATCAATATAAGACACATACATCATGCTCACTAGTCAGATTCTGTACATGTGTTTCCTTTTAACTGTCAGTTGTCAAGTTGTAAATGACTAGTTAATGGAGGGGAAACAAATTTGGTGTGGTCTAGACGAGGATTAGCGAGATCTCTCTGCTGGAGTTAAGATCTTACTGAATGTGTTGACCTAATTCTGTACATTTCCTCTGATATCAGTACAGAAACACATCTGTGGCCTCCCCAGTGGAGTGGACAGATATTCACAATCACAACCCTCCAGACTATTGCTAAACGGGTGTTATTCACTTATCTTTTTGTTTTTAGACCAGTGAGATCGATTATCGGATGCTCTTTGACAGATGCTAAATGCATTGCTTTATGTATCAGATATTATGTTTCTGCTGCTTTCTGTATGTTTTTGTTACATGTGCTCTGAAATGGTTTCAGTGGTTGTCACCGTGTTTATGCATATATTTGAATATGTGTCACAACATTTATTGGTTTATTTTGCCCTCATAAAGTTTTATGTGTTTTGTACTATGTGAAATCTTGTGAGCAATCACCAGAGATTGTTTTGATGTCATACTTTGGCTTTTTAAACAAATAGTAAAAACTCTGTAAGTAAATAACATTTATTCATTCTATATTTAGAAGGGCTGGGGCTGTCAAGCTTCGAAATGTTAAAAAGCATTATTAAAGTATCCATATCCACTTGTGTGCTGTATTTTTTTGAAGACATATGGTCATTTTGAAATCATATGAACAGATGCTATTCACTGAAAAATGTGCCCTCCAGTGGGCTGTTAACTGCTCTAGTTGAACTTCACAACTCGATCAGTCCCATTTGTGAACAAAGTGTTCAGACCAGTTTTGTGAACTAGATCAACTAATAAAGGACAATTTGTTCACAAATTAGACATTCTTTCATGAACCCCCTTGATGCCAAAGAGAGCTAGAGGAGATTTTTAATCAAAAATGTCCTAAATTTTGGTCTGTTCCTCACACAAAGCTACTTTAGAGTTCTTGTAAAATAGTAGGCTACATGATTCTTGTGTGATCAGATTTGTCCTGCTTTGAAAATTTTGGTGGTTGACAGCCCCAGTCCTCATTCAATTTCATTAAATGAATGGACACGAGAATATTCTTTAGAAACTCTCCTTGTTTGTTCCATAGATGTAAGAAAATCATACAGGTTTGGATGAATAAACAATTATGAAGTATTCAAGTTTGAAATTTTGTCTGCTCTGTATTTGTGTTCTTTATATTTTTAGGCAATAAATAAGCAGTATTTGATTTCTACTCCCCTGATGTCTGCTGAGGCATCTGGTTCGTCGGGTGGGAATGTGGTGACTGTGTCCGGTTCTGCCCCATCGTTCTCCAGCCATGTTGGGGAAGGAAAGGCTGACAGGAGCCTGGTGGGGAGTAAGTACGTGAAGCTCAATGTGGGGGGAACTCTCCACTACACCACCGTCCAGACGCTCAGCAAGGAGGATAGTCTGCTCAGGAGTATTTGTGATGGGAGCACTGAGGTCTCCATAGACTCTGAGGGTAAGAAAAAGCATGAGAATGTGTTGTACACAACCTTTCAAAAGAGGTTTTTTGTGTGTTTTTGAAAGAAGTCTCTTAACCAAGAACTATAACTATAATGATAACTATATCCACACCAGCGGACGATATTGTTCTATTTATTTTAAGCACGTGCTGCAGTTTAGTTGACTCGAGCTCTTAAAGCAGAATGGATTCTGATCGGCTGTCAATGTTTTTTTATCATTTATCAGCTGGACAAAATCATTCTTAAAGTGATTCCAACAATATTGTTTCTCTGTGCCATTATTGTTATAGTTGTGGTGGGGACTCTACTATTTTTTAGAACTATATCTTTATAGTTATCGCCCTAGGTGTGAACGGGCCTTTATGCTCACCAATAGATGTATTTTGTAACATTATAAATGTCTTTACTGTCACTTTATTTCTTAAAAAAAAATCTTATAGATGCAGAAACTAGAACAGATGTACCGGTATATATAATGTGTGTTCACTCATCTTTTAAGGCTGGGTGGTGCTAGACAGATGTGGGAGACACTTTTCCCTGGTGCTGAACTTCCTGCGGGACGGGACAGTTCCTTTGCCGGAGAGCACACGGGAGCTGGAGGAAGTGTTGAAAGAGGCGCAATACTACAGGCTCCAGGGTCTTGTACAACACTGCCTCACCACATTACAGGTTAGAGGATCCACTGGGCTTGTGTTTCTGTCCCTTTAGTGTTGGCTCAAAGAAGCTTATGTCTGCATTGAATTGAAATGCTTCTTTGAGCCAAGGAAGGTGTTTGACAGCTTTTGACACTTACTATGGCTTTTTTGATGTTGATGCAGAAACGCAGGGATGTCTGCAGGGGTTGTCACATTCCTATGATCACTTCAGCCAAAGAGGAACAGAAAATGATAGCCACCTGTAGGAAGGTGAGATAACAGAGGCTTAATATTTACTTCTCCTTTGACAAAAACAACACATAAAAAAATGTAATCTCTTAGGGCTGGAATACACTATACTGCTTTTGCCCAGATTTGCTGTCTAGAGGAGTCAATGCTTGTTGCTTAAAGTCCGAGCCAGTCTGCAGATTATGGGCAGTCAGACTGATTTTAAAGAAAATCATGTAGTGTACCATGGGAACACGCACAGACCATCCTCCACTCAGAGGATATCAAATATATATATATATATATATATATATATATATATATATATATATATATATATATATATATATATATATATATATATATATATATATATATATATTATTATTTTTTTTATATTTTTTTTTTTACATATTTTAATCATTTGTCATGCGTCTCCTAGCAATGAGGCGCATGTTTCTGTGTTCAGTTACCATTTACAAAGTTGCCAAATGCATGATGCCTAGTGTTTTAAATCTGTTCTGATTTAAAACCATTGGTTTTGCATGCGCTGATTAATTTCGATATTTTGGGCTATTTTACTTGACTAGAGGACAGAAAACCTCCATAATAATATACACATTATTTTATTACTCTTTATAGATTTGCATCTGTAGATTTCAATTACAATACATATATTTGAAGGCCATTTTCTCAAAAATGAGTTTTATTTTCCCTCATGCCCTGAGCTAGAAATCTCCACTTCAAGTAGGACTTACATACACCAAACTTTCTTGATTTATTCCTATCTATATTCTGAAGGATTTTACATAGGGGTTTGTTCATATATCATTTGCCTGATTTATATATAATTTTATTCCTAAAAACATGGTGATTTTTATTCTGCCTGTTGACAGTACTTCCTAATTAATGGAGTGATAAAAAAGAGAGCCAAAATCCCCACTATAAAAACCTTTAACTCTTATGTGGCAAAAGAATGAACAAATAATTTTGAACCTGGCTTTATCCAATGTTCAGATTTCTGTTCTGGAAATGTATGCAAATTAGTGCATAATGAATTGGAAAATGCATAATTTGTATATTTAAGCATAACATTTCAGAAAACTTGTAATACAATTTTTTTTTCTTACTCATGGTGTCGTGTATTCTGGCCTTTAAGGATCCAAATGAAACCCTTCTGCTGCGTACAGTATGGAGGAAAAAAGTGGTCTTTGTTTCATGAATAATCTTTTCCTCATTACAGCCAGTGGTGAAACTGCAGAATAACAGAGGGAACAATAAATACTCCTATACCAGGTACATTCAGCCCTCATTCTCGCTCCTTCTGCTATTTCAAAAAGAACAGTGTTTACTCTGAGCATACCACCTTCTCGTTTCAGAAAGCATATGAACCATAATGTGATTATGTGACTTATATAGAGTCACCTATTCTAAATGAATAATTGTTGTCATACGCACACCTCACTTTTTGGCAAAATTATATAGCTCAATGACACCTTGTAATTATGCCTGGTGACTGTAGGAAGCAGTAAGAAAAATCCAAAATGATTTTAAAACATAGAACTGTTCCTGTATGTCAAACAGTAGAGCATGGCACTAGCAAAACCAAGGTCGTGGGTTCGATTTCCAGGGAATGCATGAATTATAAAAATGTATAGCTTGAATACAATGTAAGTCGTTTTGGATCAAAGCATCTGCCTATTTCATAAATGTAAATGTGAGTGAGAGGTGCCTTTTTCTATATAAAATGACCCTTTATTCCCTCAGCAACTCTGATGATAACCTTCTGAAGAACATCGAGCTGTTCGATAAGCTGGGGCTGCGCTTTAATGGCAGAGTGCTGTTTATTAAAGATGTGTTGGGAGATGAGATATGCTGCTGGTCTTTCTATGGCGAGGGGCGCAAGATTGCTGAAGTCTGCTGCACCTCCATTGTTTATGCCACTGAGAAGAAGCAGACCAAAGTGAGCAATGAGAATTAAACTCTCTTGTCTGTGTCCATATATGTCTGTTTTCTCACTTCATTTTTTTTCTTCATCTGTTCACATAGGTTGAGTTTCCAGAAGCTCGTATCTTTGAGGAGACACTCAACATTTTGATCTATGAAAATGGGCGAGGTTCGGGAGGCATGGCCCTGCTGGAGTCAGGGGGCGTCTCGTCACCAGGTGTGGGCCAGTCGGAGGAGGAAGGGGCGGGGGTAGGGGGTGGGGATAGGCGGGTGAGGCGTATCCATGTTCGGAGGCATATTATGCATGATGAAAGGGGTCACGGACAGCAGACTGTCTACAAAGACTGAATCAGAATGGTACAAAGATGTACTGAATCATGCATGTGAAAAATGGTTGAGAAAAGAAAGACAACTTTGGTATGTTTAATACTGCACTGAAATGGGAGGGGTGGGGGCTAGTTTAGAAATAATACTGAAGTTGCCACAGTGTGGCACAGTTTTGTTTATTTTTCTGTGAGGTAAATTTACATTTATCTTTTTTCATTTTTTGTTAATTTAATTTATTATTCGTTTAATTTATTGTCCAGAATTTTCACTTTTTCAAGTTTCAATGTGAAATAAGTTGTGTTTTTTTTAATGTTCTGATTTGTTTGTATGGGCCATGTGAAAGTTTATCTTTCCGTGTTTAATAGTAAACTGTGATGTATGCTGACTTGAGGTGTTGAGAATGATGAGAGGCACATGGAGGCGTCATGTTGCATGAGACTGTCAGATCTTCTGGGAAACTGACAAAATTTGCGCAGCTTGTTGTTGCAGCCATTGATAGCAGGGGGTCCAGTTTTTTTTTTAACACAAATAGAAAGCTTAAGTAAATAATTTTACACAACTGTGCCTCACGATTGGTACGTAAAATTTGGATGGGCATGTTAAACAATATTTCTAAAACTAATATTGTTATTGTTTAAAAAGAAAATGATCACTGTAGTTTCTAACATGATATCACTAAATACACTCTAAAACAGCAATGGGTTAGACGCATCAGTAGGATTGAAATACTTCTAGCACTAAACGATGTTATAATTTTATTCAAAATAATTTCTAGACAAAGATGGCGCCTGGCATGACGACAGTAGTTTCCACTAAGTTACAAACAACTTCACAAAACGATGTTTTATTGACCAATGTAAGCCATAAATGTATGCACTCACTGTCCTAGACCAAAAAACACCTCTTTAGTTCTGCCAATTAAATTAGTATGTGGAATGCCGTCCAAATATTGTTTTGGAATTTTAATAAAATTGAATTAATATTCCATTAACATTTTCAATAAAAATGCTTTTTGGTAAAATCCTTGTGGTTTTGAAGTTATTTTGGTTTTGTCTTAAAAAAATATTCCAAAGAATTACACCTTAAAAACACAGTCGATCATTATAGAGTGTCAAAATGACCTATTCATACCAGATAAAGGATGAAATAATAAATATGCAAATATTAAATTACTTATTCAAGAAGTAAACATTTAAAAGAAAACCCTAAATCAATCATAAAAAAGTATCGGTTTAAGTTTTAAAGACGGATACATTTTCTAACCTAAAATATTTTAATTAGCGTATTTATGAGAATTCATGAAAGAAAAAATACTAATGCAAACCCAGTTTTAGCGGACACAAGTAACGTTTTGACCGTATGATGTTATAAATACTACGTAAGCGCGTCTGTCGGAAATTGTGCGTGATGACGTAAAGCAACGTAGCCGAGCACAGCAAAGCGCGCCAAGGTAGGGTGTCGCGCTAAGTACGCACAGTACGCAGTGGTGTAAAAAGTGGCGCAAATGTGGAAAAAAAACATGGCCAAAGAAGAGGACGTGATACGAGAGTTCGTTGTGAGAGAACTGCACAAGTGTTCGGATCTCAGGTAAACTGCGGGTTGAATGAAATGCGAAATACTGTCAAAAACGGAGGTTATAGTCATTACATATCAAAGAACGTTATGTTATGTGGAAGTCAGGGCTGAATCATAAACTCGTTAAATGAGAAATGTTGCACGCATGTCAGGTCTCACGTCGGCTTCTAGCTAGTGAGTGATATCAAGGGAAAAGGAACGGATTAGGAAGATATAAAGGGGTGGTTATGTTGGATTCTTGTATGAAGAAGGTCACATCGCACAAGAAGCACTTTAATTTGCATGTGTCGAATAAAACACGATCAAGGGACACTACAATGATGTGTGACGCAGCTTACGTTCAAGCCTGAAGGGAATCCTGTGTAGTTCAATAGTACGCTGGAGCGGTTTGACAGATAGACAGCACAAAAATGTCTCTATGCCATCACATCATGTCCATAGACAAGCCACTATTAAGTGAAAGTGTGCTTGTGTTTTGTTGTTTACAAAATATGTGGTGTTTAAGTCATGTGACATTTTGCACGGATTTGTATTGGTCCATCAGAATTGCATTTGCATGTCTAATTTACTGTTACTCTTCCACCTTTCAAGTACACTGACTTTAGGCATTTTGCGGAGGAGATACCTGGAGAAGGTGGGTAGAGAGTCGCTCAGCACCAAGGACAGACAGTTGATGAAGAAAATAGTCGAGGAGGAACTTTTGAAGATGCAGGTGAGGAAGAGACCATAGAAGTCGTGTGATCTTACCATCATTCATCTGTCCGAAAACGACCCTTTGCTAAGCTCCACCCTTTGATTATTGATTATTGATTATTAACTCCAACACACTTTACAGAAAGTCCCAGAACAAATTGGAGGTGTAAAATAATCATTGTTTCTAAAGAAATAATGTTATATTCATGTTTAACATGAGTGAGTGTTGCACTTTTTTCTAGAGTTGAGGTCTTTGAGCAGTACAATTATTGGTGAAAAGTGCTCATAAAGTGGTTAAACTTGATTGGAGATTAATTCTTCATGGACAGGAATGAATTGTAACATTGCAAAACATTTTCGATGCCGCGACTAACTTGGACTTGACAGAGACGCCAAATTTACATAAAACAAATCAATATAGCTCAATATGATGAAATGTTAGAACATGATCAGTGTGTTATTCTAATGTTGATCTAACTTACTGCTAGTCTCAAATAGCAAACAAACTAACACATAGAATAACATTATAACTTTCAACACTCTCAAATGCAGTTTAGTATGGTAGTGTAACGTTAGACCAAGTGAAACAGCGCTGCGTTACCTCACACTTTTAATTTGTCAAATAAACTGACCTGTGTGAGTAGTAATTCAGCACTTGCGGGTAGTTCGGTAGAATTAATGTCCTTATTCCTTTATATCTGTGGGACTCGCGTGTGGCGCTGATATCTGTCTCTTATTAGCAATCGCGCCCTACTTCATACCACAGTCATGTTAAAAAACAAGAATGTTTTCAGTCATCCATAAACATTATTGGATCCATCAGCATGACGACAAGTTCCATCATTCCGCTTATCACTGCGTCATCAACCTATGCCTTTGTTATTGTAAGAAGTTAGCGACCCCTAGCGGTGATTTAAAAAATAATAATAATAATATATATATATATATATATATATATATATATATATATATATATATATATATATATATATATATTTACTTATTGTAGCTTTAAATAAGGTTTTTATGATATCAAAATTTCATAATTCTTGTCACCAATTTCAATATCACAAAACCACTAACTCTAGCCTAAGTAAAAAAATATTGACGCGAAGCATGCAAATACTGAGAGGTTCGCGGGCAGTATAAAATGCATGGGCGCGACAATTACGTCAGAATCACGACTGAACGCTAGCACAGCTGACCAAACAGCGAACACGGCAGCTAACGTAATGTCTCGTTCCCGCCTCTGATCTGCAAACATTTTGAATCAAACGTTTCTTTGATAATCTCTTATCTGAGTGAAAAATCTGAGTGAATACACTTAATAAACATAACTTATTGACAGTTACGTTCCTTAAGTCAGTTAAAGATGCTTTTGCGTTTATTTAGGATTGGGAATGAAGATGGACACAGTTTAAACCACAGTATGCACTTCTCAATATTTAATTGTAAGTGTATTTATCAACCACAACGTTTGGCCAAATGTTTTGAGCTTTCCAAACACCCAAAAAGAGAAAAGACCACAAGCTTGTCTGATAATATGGTGTACATCAACAGTGTGATTTGTCAGTAACATTTTGAAGTTGAGGCTTAGTAAAGGAAATCTATCTTTTCAGGGCAGCAGTGATGATGAGCCTCTTATTAAAAGTGTGAATCCTTCAAAGAGCCAGAACAAAAGGAAAAGGGGGGATGATGACAACGATGATGGTGGGGATGAAGAGAATAAAATGGTGGGAAAGACAAAGAGATCACGGCTGGAGGAGTCTTCTCCAGGTATCTGTGTAGTACTTGTGGAGTTTGTCCTTGTTTTATTTCCTCATTGGATGTTGCGTGAGTAACTTTATAATCTCTCTTTTCCAGATTCCCCTGACTCTGGAATAGAGAAGGCTATGAACGAGCGAGGGCCAAAAGAGGAAGAAGCTGGAAGTGATAAAGACACCGGTGAAGACAGTGAGGAGGAGCAAGAGAAAAAGAACATTAAAAGAAAACCACAGAATAAGAGACGGGGCAAACAAGAAGAGGACAATGACAAGAAAAGGAAAACGAAGAAGAAAGGGAAGGTGATGGATAGGGATGAAGATGAGGAGTTGATGGATTCTGATGAGGAGGAGGCCAGGCAAAAACCACCATTGATAGAAAAGAAAAAGAAAGAGGATTCAGACAGTGAGGAGGAAACCAGTGATAAACCAGCAAAAAGTGAGTCTGCGAGTGATTCTGAGGATGAAAAAGTGAAGAGCAAAGCAAAGACACAGAGCAAAAGAAAAGATGTCAGAAAAAGGAAGCCGGTCGAGAGGGATATTGTGAAAGAAGTGGAGAGGGAAGTGTTTGGGAGCAGCTCTGAAAGCGAGGAGGAGAAAACCGAGAGCACTGAAACAAAAAACAAGAGCAACTCTGAAAATGAAAGCACTGGAGACAGTGAACAGGAGACAGATAAAAGAAACCATGCTGCTGATTTATCATCTAAAGAGACAGAGAAAAATGGTAAGAATCCCTCAGAGGTCAAAGTGGGTGCACGTTTAAATCTTTCTACTTGCATTGTTCATCTCTTCTTTTCTTTATAGAGGAGAAATTAAAGGACAGTCAGAAGGAATCAGCAGAGGACTCTGACTCCTCGTCTCTTCCCTCACTGGAGGACGAGGAGGAGCGAGAGAAGGGCAAGAAGGAGGAAAAAAGCGTGACGAAGAAAAAACGCAGTGAGGATAGGGAAAACACAACCAGAGGAAAGGCAAGATGAATTTGAGAACTCAAAAAATATAATAACACACAACTTTTTTTTCCACTACTGTCTGTTTTATTTAAGGAATATTAAACAAGCAAGAGTGCTGTTATTCTGAATAGCAGCAGAGACAGAAATCTTTTGTAAGATTATAAATGTCCTTACTGTTTCAAATGAGTGCTGTTCTTTAGAACTTTCTATTCATCAAAGAATTCTAAAAAATGTATAACGTTTTCTACAAAATATTAAGCAGCACAACTGTTTTCTGCATTAATACGTTTTTCTTGAAAATTCAGCTTTGTCATTACAGCAATACATTACATTTTAAAATATATTAAAATATAAATTGTAATAATTGTAATAATATTTCACAATATTACTGTTTTTGACTGTATTTTTGATCAAATAAATGCAGCCTTGTTGAGCATAAGATATTTTTTTCAGAAACATGAAAAAGTCTTACCGACCTCAAACTTTTGAACAATATTTCTGGTTTGGGTCAAAAATGCTAGAGATATTTAAAATGTTGGATAAAATACCCTGTAGTGAATTTTGTCATCTAACATTTTACATATTTCACAATATTCTATTCTTTGCTAAGTATGGAAGCTTGTTTCCACCACAGAATAAAAAAATAAAAAAATAAAGGTTACTGCGACTTTTTATCTCACAATTCAGAATTTTTTCTCAGAATTGCGAGATATAAACTCGCAGCTGTTTGTATTGGGATCATACAGGTACTGTAAAATAAAATCCAGGACTTTCGAGAACATTTAAAGCACCACTTTTGTGTTTTTCAAGGACCACAATCAGAAAACAATATCTTTATTATCTTTTAAATTCTAAAAAAGTAAATATATAAATAAAAATATACTAATAAAACAAAATGGTACAAATAAAGTGCAGAACATGCAAACTGTATGCAGTTACTGTTGCAACTTTAAGTGTGGGAACAAAGCCCTTGAGTTTTCAGCGCATTGAAGAGCAAATAGAAATAGGACATAAACTTCTTATGATTCTTATTTAAATATGTAATAACAGATGAAAACAAAGGATTTCATTTGTTAAATGTAATGCATTTCAATGTAACTAACTACAAAGTTATTATCTAATGACTGCACTAAAAAATATAAATTTAAGGATAATTTTTTATTACTCAAATTACAGGTATAAAGTATCCATAATACAACATATTTAATCATATATATTAAATGCAAAGTTGAAATTTTTGTTCAATAAATATTTGGTACTGAGAAACCGTCTGATGGGGGTTTATCAACGACTTCTGTGCAAGTTCCGCCAGTAGGTGGCAGCAAAGGACTGACTTTAAGAGTGTGCTAGTAGACCATTAAAAAAAATACTGATTCATTCTGGAACAAGCAAGGCTGTAAACAAGGAAATTATTTTAACTTTGAACAACACCTTATAAGGCGCAACCGACACAAGCAAAGCTGCTCCGGGGTAAAGCTGAATCTGACGCTTTACTTCAAAGAGATTAAACCATTGACCAGAGCTGTCAGTCATGTTAAATCCACTTATCCATTGAAAGGATACTATGACAAATATATCACTTTCCTCATTCAAACTGATTTATTCTCCCCATGAATATATGACTGACCTGAAGAATGAAAGCTGTAACATATACTTAGAAATGTATGAGCAATATCCTGCTTATAGCCATACGAAATTACTCTATATATCATACGGGTGCAGCGTTAATTTTGAGTGAAAATATTGTATGTGTGTTAGAAAAAAAATAAACACTAATTTCATATATATATAGTCTTTCAATAATTCAAGCACTTAAAGTACCTTTTCATAAATAGAACCTTGTCTGTTTTCAAGGGGTTTCCAGGGCTCAAATTTCTGAAGTCAAATTCAAGTACTTCAAGCACCTTGCACGAATACTGGTGTAATAAAGTCAGAATTGCGAAGTTTAAAGTCGCAATTGCAAAAAATGTCAGACGTGAACTAGAGGAGAATCTGATTTTTTTATTATTTATAAAAAAACTCGATTTACATTTCGACCCCCGTTCCATTTAAAACAAAATAACTGCGAACTGTTAATATATTTTAAAAATATATATTTATTGTATTTAATTAAAGTGCATCAACATAAACAAAATTGCAAGGGCAAACCCTTTCTCTAACTGAAAAGTCACTGTGCAGAGTGTGCAACAAAGATTGTTAAAACATCCAAATTATTTATAATGGGGAGACATTTTTTTGAAAATATGAATTGATTTTTAAATCAAATCGATTTTTCCCCCCACCCCTAACGTGAACTGACTTTTTTCCCATCAGAAACTTGATATCTCACAATTTTGAGAAAAGAAGCCAGAATTGTGAGCTTATATCTCACAAATATGATTTTATTACTCGCAATTGCAAGTTTATATCTCACAATTGAGAAGTCAAAATTATGAGCAATTACCTTTCTCAGTTTGTTTGTTCTGTGGCGGAAACAAGCTTCCATAGCTAAGTGTAATTAGGTAATCAAGAAGCAAAATCTAAAGGTCTTTACAGACACAGTAGTGACCTGTAGCTCTCATATGTCTGCATTCATTGTCTCTGAGGCCAGTCAAGTTTCTAGTTCGAAATACCTGTAAATACCAAACAAACAAATAACCCCCAACATCTGCAATGGTAGACAGCAATGGGAAGCTATGTAATCACTATGTAAACACACACGTAGAGATGTTTATTGTGTGTGATATTTTGTGGATTATTTAAAGCTACTTCTGTATTTAATGTTTATTTGTAACGGCCAGAATTGCTCAGATTGAGAATGTATTTTACACCAAATGTGTTTATGAATAGTTAGAAAAATATTCCCCTTATTAAACCAAGAAATGATTAAATTACTAAGATAGTTAAAATAATAACTGATTTTAATCATTTTTTCACCATCAGGATGAAGAGAATAAGGCTGTGTCCAGGCTGAAGCGCTACATCGCCCTCTGTGGTGTGAGACGGAACTACAAGAAGCTGTTAGACGGCTGCCGATCAGTGAAGGCGAAGGTGGCTGTGCTGAAAAAAGAGCTGGAGGAGCTGGGTGTGGAAGGTTAGTGTGCATGTGTGGACACACGGGGGAGCACGCACACAATTAACCCTCAATAAGACATTTTTTACATATTTTTTTTTTTTTTACATATGCGTGTCGTCTTTGTAAATGAGTGGTGCCGTTTTATTTACTACACATACACAAACATGCTTGTGGTGTTGTCAGCGTCTCACTATACGAGTTTCATCTTCAAATTTAATTTGATAATACTATTGTCAGGTACACAGAAACTCAAAGGTCTTATGACAGAATTATATTAGTTTTGTACAGTATATGTGCTTCTCATAGTAGTAGGAAAATAATAGTTTATTAAAACATTTTCAACATTTATTGAACAAATATCAAACAATGTACATTTTTTGAGCTTTTTTTTAGTTTGAACATAACAGTAAACCTCTACTGTGCACCACTTTGCTAAAAAAATAAAAGGGATTGTTACATTTTTATTTGATTAAATTTTAAAAGATTAATTAAACTGGTAAAGTTTTAATGCATTCATTTCATTAACTGTTTTAGATAATAAATTTGTATTCAATCATAATACATAAATTATAACAGAAAAAAACACATTTCATAAGGCCCTATTACTGGTTTTGTGAATTCAATTGATTAGCCATGATTTGACTATTAAAATGTAATTAAACTATTTTCAATAAAAAATAAAATGGAAAACAGAATTTGGGGGAAAATAACACAGAATTTGGGAAAAAATTAAACCGATTTTATAGGCCCCTATAAATGTTATAACTAATTTTTCCCAGGTCAGCCCTCCATAGAGAAGTGTAAGAAAGCTCGACTAAAGAGAGAAGAAGCACAGGAACTGGCTGAGCTAGACCTCAGCAACATCATCACCACTCAGGGTAATGGCACTTGATTCTGTATCTCAATGATTCCCATGTGTAAGAATACCTTGAAATTAGGGAATTTTAAATTTAGGATTTTTACCCTGTTCAGCCCTAAACCTAATGAAATGACAACTTTTTTCATCAGGACGTCCCAAAAGGAGAGCAGCAGCAGCAGCATGGCCTCCCGCACAAAATGCCTCTCCCCCCTCTGCCTATAAACGTGTTGTGGACTCGGACTCAGATATTGGGGAAGACCACACAAACACAGGCCGCAAGAGAGGAGCAGCCTGGGGCAACCTGCAGGGAATCATCAGTGATGATGGGGAGAGCGACTAGATGGCAAGTGCCTTGTACATACAATCGGTTTCCAGCATTGCACCTGCTCTCTGTTTTACAACAAACTGTTTAAAACTGTTAAACTTGCTCTAAAGAACCAGTCTGTTCTTTGGCAAAGGAATTTTATGTGTACATCCTCAATGATTGTAGGATGTGTTTGGATTTTCCTTCCGATATGTTTGTTCTATACTTTCATGCATTTTATAATTGCTAGTTTGTACTTTGAAGTATATTTAAGTGTTCCAAATGTGTAGAATGAGGTTCATGCAGCTTTGAAAATAAAATAATGTATATTGAATTTGTTTTATATTATCCATTCCTTCTCCCATGTCTTTTTTTGCGGACATTTTTTTTTATTTAGAAATGTGCTTTGACTTAAAGGATTAGTTTACTTTACTTTAAAATGAAAAGGTGTATTTGGCTTTCTTCTTTCAGACGAATACAATCGTAGTTATATTAAAAAATATCCTCGCTCTTCCAAGTTTTATAATGGCAGTGGATGGCAACCAACAGATTGAAGCACAAAAACGAGCATCCATCCATCATAAACAAACTCCAAACGCTCCTGTGGGTTAAAGGGTTAGTTCACCCAAAAATGAAAATTCTGTCAGTAATTACTCACCCTCATGTTGTTCCAACCCCGTAAGACTTTCGTTCATCTTCGGAACACAAATTAAGATATTTTTGATTAAATCTGAGAGCTGGATCACTCCTTCTCCGTGGGCAGTGATATTTCACGTAGTGATATTGCGCAAAGCTTCTGTGTTGTACGTCACACGCAGGCTCTTTATTGGCCGACACTGGTCGTGTGTGATGCGTGACGTACAACCTAGAAGCTTTGCGTAGTTTCACTACGTGAAATATCACGGCCGTACAGAGAAGGAAAGGAATAGTTGAAAAAAGTTGTTATTTTTGTTTGTTTGTTGCGCACAAAAAGTATTCTCGTCGCTTGATAAACTTAAGATTGAGCCACTGTAGTCACTCGGACTATTTTAACGATGTCTTTCATAACTTTGGGCCTTTTTAGCAGCAGCAAGACAGACTGGCTTAATGTAATCAGAGAAAGTCACTGAAGAAGAGAGCTGGAGCTGTCATAATTGCTAACATTTACAGAATAGGAAAATATTTTTTTCACTGTCCTGTTTGTCTCATGTGGGTTTGAGTCTTTTTAGGTCAGACGTCCCAAGTAGACCACAAAGTCAGATGCAGAGACAATGCAAATAATCAGTCTCAATTTTACTATTATGAATCCACAGCTGCATATCCTATATGGTACTTATAAACTAGCTCAAGGCACTACATACTTGAGTATGGACAGAGAAACAGATAAAAGCCAGTCTTTATTGATTAGACTCCCACTGAAGACAAGGCCTGTATGAGTGCTGATTTGCCACAGCCAAGACACTGCGATTGCATTCTTCCTCTCAGCAATCTTGGTGTTGTTGAGTGGGGCTCGACCACATACTGATGTGAGAAAAGATATGGAAATTCCCTGTTTAAATGACTCAAAAATAAAACATTCATAAGTTTGAGTTGTAACAACTTACCATCTATCTGAGAGAGACAGGTTGAAAAAAGAGACAGTGACAAAACAATAGTCAAATAATTAGAGCCTTTACATTAGATTATTAAAGTTAACTTTTTTTTGTGGCAACAAGTCTATTTTTCAGCTCAGTCAAAGTTGGCCAAGTAATAGAGATGAACAAAAAAGACTAAATATTTAGACAATGCAATGAAACTGCAATTTGCAGGTTTTACACATGATCACATCATTTGAAAAAAAAAAAAGCATTGTAATTTTTATATTTACCTGCTGTGTTGAGAAGTACGGCCCCAGCAACATTCAACATAACTTGAATAGAAACATACAACATAATTTCAATTAAAATATAACTTGAATAGAAATGAAATAGAAAATAATTAAAGTGAAAGTGTATAACCACAGATACTTTTTCAAACATTGTCTGGATGTAACCCTAAAATCTTATGAATATGATGGAATGATTTTTAGTTTTGTCTGGAACAGTAAAACATATCTTCAGGATTATTATGGTGCACAATTGAAACTCTCAGTAGAAATAAAGTAAGTTTATTTGACTGAATGAGTGCATCTGTTTAAAAAAGTGCCATCAATTGTGGTTTGCCAGTCTCAAATGTCAGTTCTCACAGAGATGTGAATGATAAAAGGGAAACTTTTATTTCCTGGATGCTTTGCATTCTACATACTTTTGTGCCTCAGATTTTGGCCAAATATCAAATTCACTCCAATACTGTATGAGACACAGCTTGTAGATTATTGTAAACTAGAGATGTTTAAAAGAATACTGAACTAAAAAGAAAATCTGTTTTACAAACCATATACTGATGATTCTTTTTTAAAGTTTCTGTCAAAGAAAACATTAAATTTTACATCAAAATAAACATCAAAGTTAAAAAAACTAAGACACATTCTGAACTATATTTTGTATACTATTCATATTCATGTAATATTTATATTTTAATATAATATAATAATATAATGTGTGAATTGTCATTAAGATATCATGATTTGGTATTGTGATACATTTTGTGCCAATCCATAAAGGTGAAGGTGTCTGAGGTGAAAAGGAAGAACTGGTCGTGGAGGTGAGGTGAGGTGGGGTGGGGTGAAGTCACATGCATTTTGGTGAATCACCATAAATCTGTGCCAACCTGTTAAGTTGCATTCCTTCAGATTTAGATTAGATTTATTTTCTTTATTATCATCGTACAAACATACAATGAAATTATGGACTTGTCAACATGTACAGTTAAAGAATAATCAAATGCATACAAACGAAGGCCATATTGCATGTAAATGAATTAAGGTGCTCATAATGTTCTTGCACATAAATGGTTCTAGCATGTCAAGGATGAATTGTAGTTGGAGGGTGTATTTTCAAAGTTCAGTATGGTGACAGCTTTAGTCTTGTGGTGCCTTTGCGTGTTTTGATAGACCTGTATCTTTTTCCAGACGGCAACAGTTCAAACAAATGATGGGAAGGGTGATATGAGTCCTTCAGAATGTTGTGTGTTTTCTTCAGGCAACGGCAGGTAACTTGGTTTGTGATGTTCTGTGCAGTATTTATGACTCTATGTAAGGCCTTTTGATCAGCTGTAGAGCTGTCTCTGTACCAAACCAGCATGCCATGTATAAGGACACGCTCAATTGAGCAGCGGTAGAATGACACCAGGCATTACTAGCGCCGTGATGTTTATCATCCTCTGAGATGTGTGTGCCCAGAAATTTAAAGCTGGGCAGTTATAATGCCAGATCATTATACAATTCCAGAGTCCAGTGAGGTTCATGCAATGGCATGATCAAGCTACGTCCTGTACATAATTCTCAATTTTTCGATCTCCTTGGAAGAGACTCATAATCCTCACTGCTGGGTCCGTTTGTGGGTCGAGTCTTCTGTTACGTATAGGGTGAACTTAAAAACAAAGGAGAGCTGCATCCCAAATGCAGTAAGTTTTATTGACAACAATAAACAAATCAAACACGAAGACTAGAACCAAGAACAGAATGAGTGCACCAAACATAACATCCGTGCAGGAACACCAGAAACACTGGGGTGTAAATAGACAAAGGCTGCAAATATACAAAGGGGCTGACGAGGGACAGGTGTATAGGTGATTAGTAGTCATGAAACCAAATGAGGGTAACTATGGAAACAAACAAGGTAGACAATAGAACAAGGGACACCGGGAACTAAACACAGGAAAAGAACACAGAAACAATAGGAACAGAAAATACACTTCAGCACAAAAGTCCTTCATACAAGACTGGGATCATGGCAGTATTCATTCAGCACAACAAAATCCCCAGTGTTAAATTAACACTCGTGGTGTACATATAGGTCCAACTACAGGGTGTTAAAAATTAACACTGAAGCAATGTTGAAGTTAATGAGATAATTAAGTGATTTATTAAGTGATGATTGGCCATTAGTGGTGACACTTAATGTTTTTAAAAAGAATCATTGAAGGAAAGAGAAACAACAAGAAAAGATAAAAAGAGAAACACAAGAACTTCGGACTTCGAGTCACTACACATTATTGCACTTATAGACGGAAATGTTTTATGGAATTTTTCGTTTCAAGTCACCATTATGATGGTCAGCGTTTGCTTTAGTTGAGCTCTTGACCCTTTTCTTATTTAGGGCCCGAGCACCGATGGTGTGAGGATCCTTTTGGAATTGCTCTGTTTATTTATTTTTAGATTTTCTGTCTGTTCAAACATTGTTTATAAAGCACATTTGTTACTGCAAGAGAAAACCTGCTCACATTATGTTTTGATGATGACATTATCATCATGTAGTGACCTGATTCACATTCAGAGTATAAATATTTGGCTATATGCTTGATGTCTAATTTTAGCATTGGTGATTGTAGCCCTGAGATTCTACAGTTTGAGATTCAACAGCAATGCCATATGAACAATTTTGAAAATACTTTGTGCACAGAAGCTATTGTGTTTGGACACACAGACATCAAGAATTAGAATATGCTTCTCAACAATGGTGACAATAAACAAACTAGTGACAAACAGATCAACTCTGAACATCACAAAACAAGCAACTAAAGTCCTAACAAAACAATAGCAAAATAAAAGCAACCAGGAAAAAATAATGAACATTACAGGACAATTCAGCGGCATAATTTATTCATGCTATAATGCATGATGTGAGCCATGGATGCGTTTTGATTGGGGGCTCCCATCATGCACTGCAACATGAAGCATTTGTGTGATTGTCACCATTGTTGAGATTCATATGTAGATTCTTGATGTCTGTGTGTGACTTTAAAACCATCAGATTATTAAAGCTCTGCTGGAATTAGCTACTGTAATGAATATAAATAAAAAAAACACACATTTGTATAATCAGTTTTTAATGCTGGTTCAATGTATCAGGCCACTACAGGATTGTAGGATTTGATTTAAACATAATCATCATTACCTGGGATTCATTTCCCAAAAGCATCTTAAGCATAACTTGATCGTAAAACAATTGCAACAAATGGTCTGTACAATTCAATTAGGCTTACAATGCTTTTGGGAAACACAGCCCATGTCATAGTTTCTCTTGCCACAACAAATGTGCTTTATGAACACAGAGTTGGAGCTGCCAGATAAAAACTAATATTAAAAAGTAAAGGGTCAAGAGCAAACAAGCAAACACTGATCACCATAATGGTGACATGAAATGAAACATTCCATAAAACATCACCATCTAAACTTCTTTAAATCTAAATAAGACTGTGTGTAGATGTATGACAGAAATAAAGTCAAA